CCAGGTTAATGTCAGACAGATAGAATCTTATATTTTAATTGTGCCATGATGTTAAACTACCCCAAAAAGGGGACAGCACACATTTGCGTAGCTAGTTGTACAATGGGCATTAGAAAAGTATGTGTTCTACTGTGTCCAACACATCCAAAAAACATCTGCAATGTCTATCATTTCTGGGGATGTTTAAATATCTGCCCTTGGCAAAAGCTGAGAGTGGAAATGTTCAGTTGGGCTAACATAAAAGCCCTGCGTTGGACTGGAATTATTAATTTTGAAATATAAGCAATCATATTATTTGTTGTATTTAAACTATAAAACTGGGGTGGAGCAATTTTTATTTATAGCTGACTTAATGTTTTGTTTTTCAATGTCCCTTAATCTTATTTGAATATTATGAAAAATATATTGCTCATTTGAATTATACAAGGGTTCCAAGTCAATACCAATAGATTTGATTTTGCTATATAAGAGTTGGAACCATCTGGATTTGTAAGAGTTCTTAAGTAAGTCAGAAAGCAAACTCGAAGGTCAGCAACAGAAGTGACAATGCAATCAGTATTTTATAGTGCTAGCCCACATCCAGTATTCCATCATGTGTATACCTAGTTCAGCACACATTGTCTCAAACTTGATTGAACTTGGGAACCCCAGGATACATCTCAAGAAACTTGAGCCTTTTTTTGGCAAGGTGGTTGAGCTTTTTTTTAGTTTTGCCCGAAGTTTTTGAACTTTCGTTTGCAAAATCTAAAAAAAAGGAGTTTTTGAACTATTTTTAATGAAATTCACTAAAATCTACACTTCTGACATTGGCTGCCATATGTCCATATTTTCCTGGACATTTCAGCAATTTCCGCCCAGACGCTGTTTACAAGGGCTGAATACTGACTATGTCTGGGAAATTCTGTATGTATGACAACCCTGCACAGAGATGGCATTTGGGCTGCTTTTGAATCTGTGGGGAGCAAGTCCCTTGTGAGATGTGATCCTCAGAACCCTTCTCTCCATCCAGACTCAGTTCCTGTGCTCCTCATGCCATGGGGATGCAACCGTGACCCTGTTCCCAGACACATGGTCACTGTACACACACTGGATAATCAGAGTGGTGCTGTGACAATATGGCATTGAGAATGTCCTTGCTCCTGCTCCCATTTGCCAAGAGTGGAGGAAACTGACTACAACAGCATCACTTTACAAAGCAAGAAATTGGGGGTTCTTTGGCTATTCACAGCAGCTAGGCATTCTCTGTGTCATTTTACTTTGCTCTCATTGGCTTCATGCCGTGTGTTTTCAGCACTCATGGGAAGGTGGAAATTTTGGCTGTGAAACATATAATCTGATTTTCATTCATTCATCTTATTTCATTCCTTCCCTGTATTCTGTTGATGTGTCTTCAGTAAGGGAACCCCACAAGCATGATGCAGGCAGCTCTGAGATGATAACCCAGGAGGATTTTATGGCATTCCATTTTCTCCACAATCATGCTTACCTCCCCCCACATTTTTTTCTTGTTTAAGCACTCCACATTATTATTCAGCTGCCTCTGTAGCACTAAATTGAGAGGCAATTTTGAAAGGAAAACCAAAAGAAATCAAACTGAAAAAGTGGAAAGGGATCATGAATCAGTTTTATCTAGCACTGAGCAAGAGAGAGAGATTGGGGGGGGCAGAGGGAGAGTCCATGATTTTTTCAACCATTTTCTATCAATAAATGAGAAAAGAAAGTGAAGCTGGAAATTATCAAAGGGAGAAGAAGAAATCCCCATGGGTTTTGTTGCAGAGATTTTGTTGCTTACTTTCAAGATGACCAAAAGGTGCTTTTGAATATTCTTTCTTTCATTCTGCCTCCTACCTGGTTGCCCGCATTTTTGAAAGCATCATGATATCTTCAGGTGGACTCTCCTATACGCACCAGAGAGTGGGCAACCTGGGGCCCAAGTTGGCTCCCCTGATGGAAAACCATCACAATGTGAAAGTAAGCTCAACCCTGCACGCACCAAAATTCTGAAGAACATTGAAAGGTCCTTGAAAATGAATGGGGGGAAAAGAAGCCTCTTTGTAGAAGACATAATTTGATAAATTTAAGGATGGATTTCAGAACAATTCTAGTCCCCGCTAAAAGCTGACTACCACTGTAGAGGCTAGCTTAGTTACCAAAGGCCTCAGTGAATAAAAAATTCATAGCCTGCTGCCTCAGAACTGATAATTATGGTGCCTGGTTTCTCTGCAGAGAGCATTTCAGACTGGGGCCCACCACTGAAAAGGCCCTTTCTCATATGGATATAGTGAAGAGTACGCTGCAATTAAGTTTAGACAGATAAATGCAGTATGTGTATAAATTGCTATTGTGTATTCAATTTGTAGCTTACATGTCTACTTGGCAGGCACAGTTGTTAGGTTATTTATGGGCATGTATCAGGCCAAAATTAGTATTGAGCCAAATACTATTGCCAAAGATAAGATCAAATAACAGTATATATAAAAATAGATAAACAAGTCTGTTGGATTATTCTTTTTACTTAAAGGGCAACATTATTAATTTAAACCTTTTCCTTATACATCCTGTTTGATTTATATAGCTGCCAGGTCTCATAATCGTTCTACCATATACAAAGTCTTAAGGTTCTTAACATTTTATTTCTTCCATACCCAAAGAATATGGGTCACTATTGTACTATGAAGCCATCATTAGTTTCACACAAAACAAATATGCCCATTTTCCTTTGTCAGATATTAGGGTGATAATACAAACCCCACACACATCATCTCAGAGCATTAGGCTGAAGAAAATTTGTAGGTGTGAAAGTGTGCAAATAGCATTTAAATATCAAATACAAAATTAAAATCAGGGTAAAACCGTTTTGTCTGCATTGAACAATGCTGCTCATTATTCATGAATTTTAAAAATACTCTCTGTAATCTTACACATACTTATGTGAGAGTAATTTCCACTGACCTCAAGAGGACTTAATCCCAAGTAAATGCACTTTAAATTGTCCATGTGCCCAGGTCTGCATGGCTTTATCTAAATAAAGAACAATAATTATACATGATTTTAATGATTGTAAAGGAACAAGCCATGCATAAAAAGAAGTATAGCATCTTCAATGGTTGTTATTTCAAGGTCTGTTATAGGTCAAACATTTTCTGAAACGCTATCATGAAGAAAGCACTAACTTGCTAGCCAAGTAATAATAACAACAGAGACCATAATTAGACCATTATTAACATCATATGAAACCATATTTAGCTCTGATCTTTGGACCTAAACACCCACTGCAGTGTCTTCTAAATACCTCCCAGTATCTTGATTCTTTTACAGAATATGCCTTGTCAAATAAATACTAGATATTAAGGCTCACTTTCACAGCAAGAACTTAAGAGTCCTGCTAGATCAGACCAAAGACCTATCTAATCCCACATTCTGTTCTCACAGCAGCCCAACAGATGCCTATGGGAAGCCCACAAATACATACTGCCTGTGATACTGGAGATAATATAGCCCCTGTGACTTGTAGCCAGTGATAGCCTTATCCTTGGTGAATCTGCCTAATCCCCTGCAAAAATCATTTAAATTGGTGGCCATTGCTACATTATGTGGTAGGAAATTCTATAGTTTATGCAGTATGTGAAGATGTATTTACGTTTGTCTATCCAGAATCTTCCTCCATTCAACTTCATCAGAAGAGTGTGAAGTCTAGTTTTATAAGAGGTGGAGAAAGACATCTCTCTATCCAGTCTCTCTACACCATGCATACTTTGATATACTTCTGTCATGGTCCCCACCCGCCTACCCAACTATTACTGGCTTGCTTTCTTTTTCTAAACTGCTTCACTATGACCTGGCTAAATAGCACTTCTTTGGGGTATGTTGGGGTCACTGGTGTTGTTGACCCCCCCCACACCATAATGCCTAGCAGACTTCAATGTAAGGATGGTGGAGGAAGAGTGAAATTCAATCAAGCTTACATTTAAAAGTGTGTCTATGTGATATACACTTTCCAAAACAAGATGCAAAGTGAAACAGAGCTATCCTCCCCAAATTTGCACTGACATTGGTAATGCAAGTACTCCAACCAAATAAGGTATACAGCGATCCATGGACTAGTGTAGAGTGTGTGTTAAAATGCATATAAGTGAAAATCACATGCACAACCAATGTTTCTTGTTCACATGTAGTCTCCACCAAGAGCCTTGGATTGTGCTGATGTCATACACAAAAGATTTTCAAGCCTGTGAGACATAAATGTATGACTTCACCAGCCATTCTCGGAAAGTATTACAGCTGTACAGTTTCAAACACTAATCTTATCACAGTGCCAATTATGTGTTATTTGTATAATACATGCCATTAGATCTGCATGGGCAGATGTTTGGACTTCGAAAAGTTCACAGCCACACTTGTCAAATGTCACAGTTTGAACCAGTTAGCTTTTGTATTATTTTCACTAAAACAGGAATTCCCAGGCTGAAATTGCTGTCATAATTTGGGATTAACAACATCTGCTGGTGCCTGCCGCAAGGCTTGCTTTGTCCTTGCATATAATTAATGAGATTTTAAAAATAAAGTTTCAGCACCCACATTCTAAACATGTGCATTACTTCAGTGGTGCAGGGGATCCCTTGTGCCTATATAATGACAATGCTGCCCTCCACTGGGACAACTGGCTTACCATTTGTCAGCTGCAGAGGGTTGGACCAACGCAGTTTGCTCCATGGCCTTTACAACAACTTGTAGGCAAATCCTCAAGTACAGTCCCATCCTAACTTCTACCACTTCCTTCTGTTTGGTTCTATGGCAGTATGACACTTTACAACATCTGGCAAGGTTGGCTGTTGTTGGTAGGCTTGCTCTTCCTCTTTCTGTTGTACTGAATCAAAGCTTGAGACAAGGTCAGCTCACAATCAGCGAGTTCCTTTTCCTTGTCCCCTCCTTGATTCACTAGTGTCTAAGATTGAGCTGGATGGACACTTCCTGAATCCCAAATTTCACATGCACTATTTGGATATGAGCTGCAACATCTGTCACCCAATTGATCGCCAGTGTTGATTCAGCTGATCTGGCTAAGGTGGGTGTCCCCTTCCTCCTTCACTGATCCATGTGCATCCCTCCCAAAGCTGCACGCTCGGTGGAATAGGACGACCATCCCAGATAGAAGGAGTGTACCATTCTTCGGTCAAGTGTATGCGATAGCTGTGCTCCCCTGCTAGAACCTCCAAACCAGCTCAAGGTCCATTTGTAGATGCACTGTTCTTAACATTCTAGACAAGCTACTATTGTTGCATTAAGAGTGGTGTGTGAAAGTTCTCCAGACGTCTGGTGGTGGGATGTAGTTCAGTGGTTGAGCATCAGCTTTGCCTACAGAAGGAAATCCCTGGAAATGCCAGGACTATCCTACCAGACAGTATAGACAATTCTGCACTAGGTGGATTCAACTCTGTACAAGGCAGCTTCCTGCATTCCTAACATACCAATAAGGGTCTTTCAATAAATCATAGCCCTAGGTAGGCATTCAAAAACAAGCATTGCTAAACATATGATGGAGGGTTGCACTTGCCTAGCCCCTCTCCATCAGCCCAGCCTCTCCCCAATGCTGGCTAAGAGCATGTCTCCAGTGGAGCAACCCAGTGGACATATGTAGTCTATCCTTGTGAGCTGATTCCTGGACCTTCCATGGGCCGGATTGAGAAGGCGATTGGGCTGCATCCGGCCCACGGGCCTTAGGTTGCCTACCCCTGGGCTAGGATAACCCAGTCAGATGGGTGGCAAACAAACAAAGCAAATATCTGCAGCAAATTCTTGTAACACCAAATAGGCCCAAATATGGTAGGTCCATTGAGCCCTCTTTGCAAATAAAGCAAACTAATGTTTTTTCAAGCAAAAAGTTGTAGCTGATGGCATTTCACCAGCAAACATCTGAAGCTTGCCTGGCTGGCGCTGGCACTTAGAACATACTGAAAAGGAGCAGTTTCCCTAGCAACTGAACCCAACGCTTCCCCTGCTTTCTCCGCTCCCTTATTCTTTTCTCATCTCTATTCACCACCTGCATCTCACAAGTTATATTTAGTGTTGAGCTTAAACAGACTCACACTGGGTCCAAGGAATCTGTCACAGGTAATAAACCCCAGATGCTATGTTGAGTGAGTTATCTCACACAAAGGGTATATTGTCATTTTCCCAGTCTGAGGGGATGCAAAGTATCAGGTGCCTTCAGGAGTGGCTCACATAAGGCATTCTGCCTCTATATTTTTCTACTACTAGCAATTTGCTGCTGCACTACAACAAGTGTGCAGGTGGTTCTGTGCCTCACCAGGACATTAGGGAAAAAATGACATTTCACAAAATGGCTGCCATGGTGGGCATGACCACTGACAAAACACCCACTTCACGGAAGGCAAAAGGGTGAGATCCAGACTGCAAGGCAGGGACAGAGTTCTAGCCCCAAAGCACAAAACATCTCCTTTGAACTCACATTGACAGGAAGATCGACCCCTATTTTTCTCCAAACACAGACCCACCACTGAAGGCACATGGAAATCACATACTCAATAGTGTTGGCATTTCCTGAAGAAACCTCCAGGCCCACAGAGGACCCAGAGGCATTCTGAGAAAATGTATATGGTGTCCAGAGGCCTTGTGGCAAGTCCCGAGTTCCTGGTAAAAATAAGGACCGAAAGGTAGCCTTGTGGGTGTGAAGCAGGGTTACAGGGTCATGGTCACACCCACAGGTTTTAGCCATAAAACAGACTCATCAGCTTAGTGGGGCAGCCCCACATTGCAAGCACCCAACCTAAAATGGAGGTCCCTTTGAGGTGCGCAAACCAAACCAAATAATAATATAAAAATAAAGAATCTGACATGCAACAAGGTATAAGCTCTCTTCCTCCTAGCCGACGATACCCTGAGATGCCGTGCCCACCACCAGGAGAGGCGGGGCCTGAGAGCCTTCTGGTTCCGACTTTGGCTGCAGCTGGGCTCTTCTGGAGGGCCTGGTAAGTGGGGCGCCACCAGGCAGCAAAGGCCGAGTCCTTCCTGGGAGAGAGGGGCACCAACAGAGGTTCTCACTCCTTCCCTGCCCCCCAGACAGGCTCTTCTTGGCGTGCCTTTCTCCCTCTTGCCCCTCTGAAATCTCATGGGGGCGGGAAGCGAGAGGCGCACCACCCTGGATCCAGCTGCAGCTCCCTTAACTCCCACTCCCAGGCGCAGCCAGCCTTGAGTCGCATGCAATTAACGCTTCCCCACATTCCTCTTGGATTGTGTGTCTCCCTGCCTTGTGAGTGCTGTGGGGGAAGCTCCTAGGAGGCAGCGGATGAAACCCATCAGCGCGCAGGTTTCTCCCTTTGCTGCCCCTGCTGGGCGTTTGTGTGGGAAGAGGTGTGCATGGACAGACCTGTTCTGTAACAATCCTGCCTCCTTTGTTTTTCCTGTTTTTTGTGCACTACAAATAAAATATGTGCAGTGTGCATAGGAATTTGTTCATATTTTTTTCAAACTATAGTCCAGCCCCCAACAGTGTCTGAGGGACAGTGAACTGGACCCCTGTCTGAAAAGTTTGAGGGACCCATGTTCTAAGCTATGTGTAACATCTTCTTGGGGGGGGGGAAATCACTTGAATAATCGGGATGATATACTTGTGAATGCCACTGAAGTCCATGTGGAATAAAGTTATAGAAATCTGCATGATATTTGGGACTCGGCTGAGTCCTCAAGGGAACAGCAACTGCATGCAAAGGAATCTCCCAAAGGCATAGCAGAACCACCTTTTCCACCTCCCACATAGTACATCTGCATGGGCCTTCAGCATGTGCAGTAGATATGGTGTACTTGCCTCTCATATCCCAAACATGTGCTTGCCTTTCTGTGCTCAACTGCTGTGCCTCCAGTGACTTGAAACTAAATTAAGATGCCTGATGTTTAGCGTGGATGATTCAAAATAGGTTTCCAGGGTTTTCCCAAGATGACGGCTTGATTTGTCCGCAGGTGATAAAATGATATTATTTCCCACGTTAAACACTTTGCAAGAACATAGATTTTATTTAATGAAGTACTGCATTACTTTTATTTTGATCAAGAGTACACCACTTTTATGCAGTTTAAAATAAATGCTTATAAAATACATCATTCTAAAGTGGCTGATTGTTGAGGTACTTGTGAACTAGTAAGTACTGATCTATCTGCCTATGGGCAACTATCTTCAGTCCATACTGCACAATTGCAAAGCAACGCAAGATGCACAGGATCATTTCTTATTTTCCCCAGTTGTGAAAGGTTATAATTTCTGGATTCACCTCTCTACTCCAAATTGGTTTAGACATGGAGTATATAAAGACAAAACAAATGAAATTAGATGGCTTATATTTAAGGTTTCTGAACTTTCAGAAGCATTTAGAGCTCACCTCGGCTTTAGATTTAATTGTGTCTTGTTTAATAACATAGAAACCTGTTTTATGCTCAGGCCTTTGGTACATCTAATTCAAAATCCATGCCAGCCATCCCCAACCTGATACTTTCCAGATGTTTGGTATCACAACTCCCACTATCCATGACCATTAGCCATGCTAACTGGGACTGATGGGAGTTGTAGTCCAGACACACATGGAAAGCACCAGTCTAAGGAAGGCTGTTCAATAGGGACTGGCAGTGCCTCTTCCAGGCTTCAGACAGGGTTCTTTTATAGCCTTATCCAGAGATTCCACAGATGGAAGTTGAGATCTTCATGTAAAGCATATGCTATACTACTGAGCTACACCACTTTCTGATATAAAAAGATGGTTTCCAGAACAACTGCTTGTGCTGGCTGGGTATAGGATTCTCATTTGCTCATCACTGTTTCACATTGGAAGCATTTAGACCACTGTGGGTGCCGATGAACTAATCTCAAGAGCACTTCATTAGAAACATTTACAAAGAGACCAGTCTTTAATAATGGCAATTCACTGCCATTAATGACAGTTCTATATTTCTAACTCACACTGACAGCAGATTTAAAATTTTCTAGTTTTCTCTTTGGCAGGTGTACAAATGAAATCAAATAAATATGCCCCCCCCGTGAAAGCTGCCAGTCAGACCTTGAACTAGACTTTTCAGATGTATCTACATTATCACTCATGTCAGAGGTAGCCAACAAGGTGCCCTCCAGATGTTACAAGACTATCAACTTGCAACAGAATTGTACAGTGTTTCCAGATGTGGTCACACCAAAGATGTGTATAATGGCATTATGATAATGGCTGTTTTATTTTCAATTCCTTTGCTAATGATTCCTAGCATGGAGTTTGCCTCCTAAGAAAACAAGAGCTGTTTTGGATAGTGGAAAACTTGAGGAAATTGAGTCCTGGCAATTCAGGTGGAAATGGTATGTGGAAAAACAAAAGACAGACAGAAAGACAGAAAGACAGAAAGAAAGAAAGAAGAAAAAAATGAACAACTTTAAAAATTACTAGTGTGCCACTTCTCTGTAAGAAGTAAATGTTTCACACTGTGCAACAGTTAAGTACCCACAGCAGGAAAATCAAGTAACAAAGTGAAGTAACTGCATTAGGAGCTTGTAAATGTCCAATACAGTCCAATTTCTTAGAATTGTATTCCATCCCTCTATGAAGTTAGGAGCACTTCCACCAAAGATGATTTTGTCGCTCTCTTGAAGTTTCTTAGATACCCTTCATCATAACAGGAGGAGGACAAACAAATTATTCTAATGCCACAGGCTGGACTCACCAGAGCTCGGAAGTCAGGACCTATTCTACATGCAGACACCATCAGGTTCAGATCAAGAAGCTGGTCCATTTTGCTCTGAATTGTCTATACTGGCAGCAGCTCTCTAGAGTTTGAGACAGGAGATACGACATTTCCAGTTTTACCTGGAAAGGCTGAAGATTGAACCTGGAATCATCTGCATGCAGTAATGCTCTACCAGTGAGCTGTGGCCATTACAGTGGCAAGGTTCAATCCCTGGTATAGAAGTGCAATCTCCACCCCATCAAAAGCTAGGGAAAGTTTTGAAATAGACATTTTTAAAGGGACCCATTCTCTGCCTTCCTTGTCACCTGTCCAGCCAATCTTTCCTTAGCAAGTGGTACTGGTGGTCCCCACCATCGTTTTGTTTTTTTCTTTGTCCAAGAGAAGAAGTAGCGAAACAGTTGGAGCAAGCTCCAGACAAACACACCAGCCAGCTTAATTTCTCAGAGTGCATCTGGGCTTTCACAGAGTCCGGAGGCATTCTGGGAAATTAAAGAGAGCAGGTGAAATGTTGATAATCGGATCTGTGAGTCTGACTGTACGTACCACTGGGGAGGATTCAAGTAT